TCAGGTGGGATGCTCAGTATCAAGGTGGATGCTCAGCCCCAAGGGAAGGTGCTCAACAACAAGGTGGGATGGTCAACACCCAAGCAAGGTGAGGCTGGGGGATGCTCAGCACCCAAGGGGATGCTGAGATCTAAGAGAGGACACTCAGCACCTAAGTGAGTGTTTTATCCCAAGGGAAGAAATTCAGAATCAAGATGGGATGCTTAGCATCCAGACAAGGTGCTGAGCACTGAGGCTGGAGATGCTCATCACCTAAGTGGTGCTTGGCCTCAAGAGAGGATGCTCAGACTCAAGGTGGGATGGTCACCATCAGGTGGGATGCTCAGCATCAAGGTGAGATGGTCAACATCCAAGCAAGGTGCTGAGCACCGAGGCTAGGGGATGCTCAGCACCCAAGGAGATACTCTATCCCAAAGGAAGTTCAGAATCAAGGTGAGATGCTCAGTGTCCAAGCAAGGCGCTGAGCACTGTGGCTAGGGATGCTCAGCCCTTATGGAGGGCGCTCAGCATTGCAGTGGGATGATCAGAACCCAAGAAGGGAGTGCTCAGCATTGAGACTGGGAAATGCTGAGCACCCAAGGGGATGCCCAGTGTCAAGCTGGGATGTTCAGCCTTGCGGGTTGCAGGGCTAATGCTCTGAACCCAAAGGGAAGCTCTGCCTCAAGGAAACAGGCTCAGCACTGTGGGAGGATACTCAACCCTGAGGGACCCTGGGTGCTCAGCACCAGCACTGGGGGACAGTCAAGATTCCCTTGCCCAAGAGATGCCCCAAAACAGGGCCTGCTTTGATGTGACATCCAGCTCCAGAATTAGAACTGTGGCTCTGGTCTCACATGGATCAGTTTTGGGTTTGAGACTTCCCCACCCTCTCTGGGATGCTGTTGGCAAAGGAGCAGTTTGGAAGTTACCAAAGACCACTGAGTCTTAATGTCCGGATTCCATCATTCCATGATCCCAATCCAAAGCATTTCTCTGGTTCAGAGCCCCCAGAGCATCTCCCTGCCATGGGGGATGGATGGACCTGGCAGCTAGATGGCATGCACACCAACAGAACCTCCCACAACCATCCTTAAAACAACCAAAGAGAGGAGACAGGTGTTGGCATCCATCACAGCAGGTAGGACTCTGCAGGATGACGTGCTGCAAAGCCTCCGTGGGAGCCAGGAAGGATGCTCTAAGTGCTTAAAGCATAGTATGAAGGATGCAGGTGTCCTCAGGTTCTTATCCCTTCAGCTTGAAAAGCAGAAAGAAGGGGAAAGCTAGCAGCACTGCATGGTCCAGCAGCAAGGGACCTTCCCCACGCAAGGTGCTGACGCATGGCCCGGCGCTGGCACACGCCTGCTCTCCCCTCCACCACTGCTCAGCTCCTCCAGGCAGAGTTTTGTTTCCTTTTAAGGCCCTGTGTTCCCTGCTCTGGAGCTGCGGCTGTGCTGGGAGAACAAAACAAGTCGTCGGCGGTGCAGCGCTGCTCGCCTTCGCCCTGATGGTTATGGGCTGTGCCCTCGGCTCCCATTTTCCCTGCAGCATGCAGTGTTTAACCAGATAAAGGGCAGCCGGGTTTTCCAAGCAGGCTATGCCTCCTTGCAGCATGGGAAGCTTTAAATCAGGATCCCAGCTCCTTTTGCAAAGAGGATAAGGAATTCTCATCCTCAGCAGCAGTGTTTTGAGGCAGGGCACGTGCAGCTGCTGGTTCAACACCACCTTGGCCAAGAGGAGCTTGGGGTACCAATGGTTTTACGTCTGACATTGGATGGTGCAACTTCTCCAACTTCTTTCCCCACCAGTAAAACAAGGATGAAGCTCCCTCTGCCTTAACATCCAACAGAAAGCCATTCAAAATGCGCTGCTTAGCAGATGACATTAACCAACACCTCCCCGTGCCTGTTAAAGGCTCTGTCCTCCTGAGGGTGCAGAAACGGTTGGAAGGCAGATGCAGAGATTTCCCCTCTTCTCCCCTTGCACCTCCATTGCAGGGGACAGCAGCCCACAGAGGTGGAGACAGAGATGTAAAAATTCATCTCATGAGATTAAAACCTATCCAGGAGGGAAGGGACCGGGGGCTGTGTCAAGAGGCAGGTCTCCTACAGCCGGATCCCTGCATCCACAGAGATAGAATCTTCCTTTAACCTTTAACCCACTCCCCTTGCTTGCTCCTGCACTCCATGCAGCATGCAGGAACGCTCCAGCCTCACCCAAGGGGCATGCAGGGACCCGAGGCCCCCGGGGGCTGGCAGAGCTGTGCAGTGCACAGGAGGGGGAACATGAGATCATGATTTTGGAAGCCTGAAGTTCGCCTATGTCCTGCTGCAGACATTAAGTCATTTTCCTGAGGAAGTGGTGTATGACGTTGAGCTGGTTATATGGGGTTGGGGTGGAGCAGCGAGCTCCAGCGAGAGGACCACTGTTCTGGTGCAGAGCAGGTGAGGTGCGAGCACACCACATCCATGCAGCATTGGTCATGGAAATAAGACCTGAGGAGACAGCCCAGGGGTCTGAGTTCAATGCAGACCTCAGTAGCTTGAGGTGTTTTCCACCTGGGTGACCTACAGTGATGAGTTTATTGGATGGAACTCTTCACCTACTGCATGTAGGCTCCTCTGTGTGGTCAAGCAACCTCTGAAAAAAATCAGGATGGAGCACATCTTTTAATGAATAAAAAAAAATACAAGAAAAATCTGTACTTAACGTTTTGTGACTTATTACTTTTCAAAATATACCCCTGACTCCACCAAGAAAAGCAACACACTAAGTGGTGGCCTCCATCCCAAATGAGGTCCTTCATGACCTCATGGATCTCTGCTGCACACATCCCTAAAACATACCTTGAAAGCATCCCACCTCCTCCAGCTGTGCAGTTGGCTCTGGTTGGGTGCTGGTGCCAGTTCTGCCTGCCCTCCTGCCTCTTACCCTTATTTTTCCTGTAAGCTTCCAGTTTGGAGAGCCCAGAGCTGCATGATGAGGATGCTGGAGCGCGAGGTTACCCTCAATCCTCCACTTGCAGTGATCCATCCATTAAGCAGCCAAACCCATCTAGCCAGGATCAGCCATGGGCACAAGGGCTGTTTAAGGAGATCCTCTCCCATCTGCTGAGGGTCCAAGCTGCTTGGGCTGATCCAAGTGTAACTATTAGGTGTGCATTCCCATTTTGAGAGCCACCAGCTTGATCACTCAGCCAGAATGATTGCCATTATAATCGATGAGTTGGTCCTCTTGCTATCCAGAGCTCAGAATACTTCCAGCTGTCTGCCTAAAGACATCTCCCCTTTGGTTTACACTCTTCAGACCTCTGTGCCACCTCAAACACCTCCGTATACCACTATGTAAGTACACAGCAATATAAACACCAGCCTAACAACACCCAGAAACAACTGCTGACCACATCAGTTGCCCACCTGAGACCTCACCAGCCAAGTTTCAGAAATGCTGAGCACCCATCCTCTGGAAAACCTCTTTTACGATATAAATCTTAGCACCAAATGACAGAAGGCATCCAAATGGAGGAGTTATTTGTAATCAACGGGTCTGCAGTGCTTTCTTCACCTCCAATAACTGGTTTCTCAGAACCATTTGCTGCAACACTTCCTCCAGAGGCAGCTGACGAGATGTCCTAGAAAACAACTCGATGGTGTCTGGTTTGTGCCTGTAAAACACTTCAGCAGCAAAGCAGGCCCAACAAAAACACAAAGCTGCGTGCAGCTCCTCACAGACAAGGACACCTGACCTTGGTCTACCAGGAGAGCCCTCTGAACACCCTTCTCCCCCCTTTGACTCGTTAACTTTCAAGGTTACAGATACCGCTGCTTTCCCAATAAGAGCACAGCCTTCCCCCAGTTCCACCAGAGCCAATTGTGTGGGAAGCCTTTAAGATGTTTTTGCAGAGACAGAGCACCACCAGTGCCCGGCTCTATAATTAGGCTTCTGAGCAATTTACAGAGGATATGCTCAAGGAAGAAAAGGGTAAGAGAATTTTATATGCGCTGCTTTGTCCAAAAGAAGGTTACGAAAGGCAGAGCAAAAACTATTTACCAGCCTCACGGGGAAAATTAAGTTTGTTTCATTCAGTTGAAGCTGAAGCAGATGTTCAGTATCTGTGTGTGTGTGCCTGAAGACCTGCTACATTGCAGCTTCTCACCAACGTGAACGTTTGGATCAATGTGGAGAGCTGAGAGTGTAAAAACAGGGGGGGAGAGGGGGAAAACAAAAGGGAAAAAAAAAAAAAAGATGATGCCAGAACTTGACTCCCAGTGGAGTCCATTCTACCACTTGTGGAATGGGCCTTTAACACCAAGCTGCTAAAAGGCCATCTTAAAAAAAAAGAAAATAAAATGTCATGTAAATAGATGAACAGTCTTTCAAGAGTTCAGTCCAGATGTCGCATCCAGGTGGTGATTTTCACACAGCTTAATAGCGAAGACCGAAGTTATTGCAGGAACAGATAAAACTTCTTCCCAATACAAAATGTAGTCCAAAGGGCTTACTTACACAGTAAGCAAGATATCTTACGTAATGGAAGATTGCATGTTGTCCTCCTCCTGTGCAGCAGCTTTCAGAGAGCCACGCAAAGAGAACAACACTCTCAAGCTGCCAAAGGGAGCGGGGGAAAGAGTCAGTTCATTTCTTCTGAAAGAAGCCCATGATGGAGACCTGTTTGTTGGCCCTGCTGGCGGTGGCTGCCCCTTTCTTCTGGTTCTTCCTCTCTTCCTTTGGTTCCTTCTTCACAGGCAGTGCAGGTTGCTTGGGGGCAGCTGGTGGCTTGGTCTTGGCGAAGTCATCCTCGCTGTCCGTACAGGATTCACTCTCATAAACTTTCTCAGTCACTAGTTAAAAGAGAAGAACAGATGGTGCTGGTTAAGCATGCGTGTTGAAGAGCAGCAACGTCCCCCCTGCAGCCTTCCCACTGCACTTCTGGAAACGAGCATTGTGGTTCAAGCATTCCAATGGGAATTAAGTCCAACCCTCAAGGTTATACGGTACATTCAGATGACCAGGCTGGTTTTGTATACACTGGGTTAAACTGCCTCCACACAGTCAAACTGACCTCCTTCTTTCCTAAGCAGCAGATAGTAGATGGATGAGCTGGGAGCTTGAACACCGTCCAGCTCTTTCAAAATGAGCTGACATCCCCAGGGATGTTCCCTTGCAGGCCATATGCACACCTTAAACACCAGCAGCCTCCCACTGGGAAGGGCTCCTGGGAAGACAGCTCCTGTTCCAAACCTATTCAAGCATCACCCTGAATCTTCAAGATTCAAGGGCCACTGGTGTGCATCAGATGGCCAAAAAAAGCAAAGCCAACACACTGAGAAGAGGGGCACAGAACTCCATTGGCAGCTTCCTCAACGCAGGAGGGCAAACAGGGCAAAAAAATAAAGATATGCCTTAAAAAGACCACAAAACTGAAGCTATCACCAAAATCAAGGACTGTTACTGAATGGGATTGCTGGCTTGTTACAGTCAGCATCCCACAATGGAAAGCTAAGGGATATAAAGCAGCACTCACTGAAATGAAACCGAGTCCATTGCACCGACCAAAGCCATCATTAGATACTAGTAAAGGTTGTTCTATCAGCCTTCCCAGCAGTGCTCTGGTATTCTTCTAGTAAACTATTTCTTTTTAGCAACTGTATTCTTTTAAACACATGTCCTAACTACTATTCTTCTGGGAAATTAGCTCCCCGTTGTGTTAATGCATCAAACCACACCAGGATTTCTACGTAACCGCCCTGCAAAGAGGAATGGCATGAAATCCTGCTCTGCAGAGAGCAGATGCTCAGACAGGGACCATAAATCCATGCTGACTTCCTGCAGAGGGAACTGACCTCTGAGGGAGCAGCGTTAGCAGATTGCTGGCCAGTTCCTGAGCTTGAAAGACTTACAGCACTGTCACCCTGTCGGTAATTGTTGGTAACGAAGCACGTGCTTAATCCCCTCCAATTACGAAATAACAGTTTGCGTTGGTTCTTCTAGTGAGATTGCAAATGGATGTAAGAATTCCGTGCTCGTGGCAGGCCATACCAATGGATTGTTGATGCTCAGCTCAGCCAGATGTGCTGCATCACTGTAACTCAAGTTATGCGTGCGAGCTTTAACTTAAACCAGTGCCATACAACCAATTTGCTTACAATGGAGACACATTTATTCCAACACTGAAATCTATGTGTGTCCTTCAAGCTTTAGAAAGCGTGAGGTAGAGGTGCATAAGCTTAAACCTCAGCAATTCCCCTTTGCTACAGGCTGAGAGCATGCACTTGGCTGCATCCCTGTTGATGCATGGTAACATGCCTTAAGCCCAGCTCCACAGAGACTTGCTCAATTTCCCTCGGGACTAATCCCTAAATCAGTTTTGCTTTTTGACACCAATTCCTCGCTATTGTGAAAATGGCCACTTCAAAGCGTGGAGAAATAGAAAGGACAGCCTAACTCCAACATTGGGATTTAATGTCTCTGCACCACTGTCCTTGTGGACATCAAGGAGGGAAAAAGAAAAGCTGTCTTTCAAAGAATACCAACAACTTACATCAGCCTGGGAGATCAGCAGGTTATGTAGCCCTCAGATGGTTAGTTTTGTGCAAGGAAAAGGTGGGTAAGGAGTGGGGTAAGCTGGACCATAATCAGACTGCAAGTCCTGTGCAATGAACTGGTTGGCACTCAGTGTGGAGAAAAGCACCTCCTTCCTCCCCACTTTCAGTATCCTGGCTCGATTCCTCCTGCCTTCCCAGGTGCACTGCCTCCCAAAGGCACAACAGTGGCTTCCATTTCCCTTTCCATACACAATGGCAGTGGATAGGAACCATAAATCCCCAAGTCTGAGTTTCACAGGAGACTACAAAACCTCTTGGGAATGGGGAGAAGGGAAAGTGGGCAGACTTCCCAACCCTGGTACATTTGGAAAAGGCTAAAGAGAAAGCAGCACTCTTTGCTGGAAGCTGAACCCAGAGCCCTCATTAGTGCGAGCTCTGGATGCAGATTTCTTGAACTTGAGTCCCCTGCTCATGCTTTTTTGATCCATTTTCCTCCCAGGCATTTTAATGATTCTATTTGGGATGGGAGCACAAAAAACACCCCATAACACAACAAGCCAAATCAGTCAGTAACACCTGTGCAAGTCCAATACCTTGACAAAAATCCAGGGCTTGAGATTTCAGTTACCAGCACAGATAGTTGCTGAGTGCCAGCCTTGTTTCTTTAAAGGAGATGCACAAATCCAATAGGAAACATAAGACACAACCATACAGATAGGTGCAAACACACAGGTTGAGTTGTGTGCATGCAGCTCTAAAGCTGGGCCAAGCAAAGCTGTGTCTGTGCACAAAAACAAACCTGTGCAACAGCCACAGGTCTTCTAGAATTGCCAGAGCTCCCTTGACATCTATTAAGATGAAGAATGCCAGGCACATCATATGATTTAGCTGACAACATCACTACAAAAGAAAAAAAGAAAACCACCACATTTTGCCCTCTTCAAGTTTTAAAACCTTGAAGGAGAAAAAGGATTCTGAACTCCTGCAGCTCTGCTTCAGTGCCAGGATACAGAGAAGGAAAGGAGCACAGTGGTGTTACACAACTTTCTCCAGGTCACAGGAGAAAGCAGTGTAGATGAATTTGAAGCTTCTGGCTTTCAACAACAACTCTGAAACCTCCACCCAGGCCTTCACAGAAAGGGCAGCTACCTCAACCTGGGAGCATGAGGTGGAAAGCAGAATGACAAAGTGATGTTGTGATATTATGAACCTCCTCCTAAGCCCACGAGAGGCTGACCCATAAAAGTCTTCAGTACAAGTGCAGTAAAAGTTGGACCCGTAGAAGCGTGGGAGACAGCCACTCTTACCCATGCAGCCTTCCTCTTCATCAACAAACATTTTGGATTTCAGCACACGCTTCCGTTTCCTCTTCTTTCCCCCAGTTGAAGCCTGAAGGACATCACAAGAGAGTGAGACATCAAGAGTTAAAGCCCTGTGCCTCAGGGCACGAAAGCATCCGCCCCAGGAGTCTCTCTAACCAAACTGATAGAGAACGTTTTGTGAATTCCCTTCCCTCCTCAGGACAGCCCAGTTTAAGTCTTGCTAATGCCACTGTTCTCCCCATCCCACCAGGATGAATTTGAGAGAAACCAAACAACTGAAATGAGACAGCAGCTTCTTCTGTCTGCCAGCACAAGGGGCGCATTCCTCTTGCAGGGCACACGACATTCTGAAACGTGTTCAGCTCTGTGTGGGGTTGTTTCATTATACCTCTGAATAACGAGGAAATAACAAGGTGTGCATGACACCAGGATGCATGCTGTGACGAACAGCTGTGCTTTCAGTAAAGCTACACGTGTTTTTTCAGCTCAGGGGTTGACTTTGTGCCAACTAGAGCCCACCTCTCTTACGCAGCAGCGATACAAAGTTGAACACTGAGGTTCTCTAGTTTCATTCTGGCCCTGCCTGGACTCCAGAGGCCAAGATTCAGAGGGGAGAGTGTAAAACCCGAGCAACAATTCATAGAGCCATTAGGAGGATAAAAGGGAAGAGAACTGTGCTATATCAGCAGAAAAAAAGCAGAGTTTAAGTAAAGTTGTGCTCTGGATAATGAATGAAGCGGTGAACACGACGGATTCTTTCAAGGTGGATCATGTGATGGACGTGGCAGATGAACAGGACCATCCCCTTGGCATTGGAAAGTGGCTGAGCAATCCCCATCGTGTCAAATGAAAGCAGAAGTTCATCACCATGATGTGAGCTCACCTCAGCGGATGCTGGCTCCAGCTCAGCCTTCAGAGCAGGTACCAGAGGTGGTGGAGATGGAGCTTTCTCTTCCTGGAGTGTGGGAGATGCTGGGACACCTGCCAAGAAGAATACACAAACACCTTAGCAGCAGTCAGGTGCAATGTCCCCTTGCCTCTACCACTGTCTCATGTCATGTCACCTAATTTAACTCCGAGTAATTGCTTACAACTTGAATTTAACTTGAGATTTACAACTTCTAACTCAGATCTGAAGACAACACGTTCCAAGAAGCCATCTCTAACCCGACAGCTCACCCTGCACCAAGGTGCCACGCGCTGGGGCTCCTGAAGAAAGCATGGTCAAGGATGGGAGAAGCATGTTTGGTATTTTTGGAAAACCACGCTCAGCCTCACTGAGCAAAGCTTGGAAAACCAACACTGAAACTAGAATGTTTCAGGCATGTATTTCACCTGTTCAGAAAGAAAAGGGACTGCAACCTGTACAGGAGTTGAAAGAGTCAGGGCTAAGGCTACGTATTCTCAAATCACTGCATGACCTCTGTTTCTCTGCCTCTCTCTGAGTGGTAAAACAGAGTAATTGCTTCAGGAATGGCATTTCAAATCCCAAATGATCAACCCTAATAGCTTGAAATTGCCTTTATAGAATCACAGAATGGCCTGGGTTGCACAGGAGCACAGCGCTCATCCAGCTCCAAGCCCTGCTGTGTGCAGGTCGCCAACCAGCAGCCCAGGCTGCCCAGAGCCACATCCAGCCTGGCCTTGAATGCCTGCAGGGATGGGGCATCCACAGCCTCCTTGGGCAACCTGTGCCACTGCCTCACCACCCTCTGGCTCAAAAACTTCCTAACATCCAACCTAAACCTCCCCTGTCTCATTTTAACCCCCCCCCCTTAATTCAATTCATGCAAGAATTAAACATGATTCTGCCCACCCCACAAGATTTGAAGGAGCACCAGAGGGAAAAAAAAAACAAAAACAAAATCCAAGCCATTCCAAAAAGCGAGGTCCATTCTCCCATCTGTCACTGCATTCATCTTTGTGCAGCAGATGGATGCAGTGACTGAGATGCTGGAATCCCTCCAAGGCTTGCACTGCCCCACATGGTCATGGCCACCTCCCCAGCTTTGTATGGTGCAAAACCAACACTGGAGGGTCTCACCAACATGAAAAAGGGCGAGACCAGCAGGGCATGCATAGGTACAAGAAGGTCGAGGTCACTTCTATGGGGCTGGCAGAAGCACAGAGCTGCGACAGCTTAGCAAAATCAGGGCAAGGACAGAGCGGGGGGGGGGGACAGGAGCAGCACTGTGACTAATTGAAATGACTTCAACGAATCCTCTCCAAGTCCACCTACGAAATACTGCCATGCAAGCCCTCAACTGCGGGGGAGAGCAAGGAATGTGGGGGAAGAAACTCCTCATCTGACCTATTGCTTAACAATAACAAGGCTGCGGCTGGCTGAGAGGACAGAGCGCTGCTTGGCTTCTCCTCCCAGCCCTGCTGGCTGCAGTGCTGCCTTCACGCTGTCGTCGTAACACGAATTTTGGATCCGTAGCTGTCCCAAGTGATTAGGTCAGTGTGAAGAGTTACGACTGTGCCAGGCGTGCGGCCAGCTGACCTTCATAGGTTAAGAAGGGCTCAAGCGAAACGGTGGTTGGCTGCCAACGCTCAATAATAAATTACATTCTTCAAACGAGGACTCAGCCTCCTAACTACTGCAGTAAGCGAGGCACAGAAATGCAAACAGAGTGGGATAACATGACTGGGGATTTCACCTTGCTCCAAAGCACCGGGTCTGGCAGCTGTGCTAAGGTAAAACCAAACAAGGGACCTGCTTGGAGGTGCTCACTGCTGGGGGACCGCAGCAAGGACTCAAAATCCTCAGTATTCCTCCCAGCCTCACGGCAGCTGCAGGCTGAAAAGCCCACAGGTTGCACAGCACCGAACTCTGCAGGCTACCCGAGCTGGCTGCATCCACTGCAAAATATTTGTAAGGAGTGTGGATGCTAGGAGGGCTGAAAAGGCAGCCTGTGAAAAGCTGTCAACCTCTGCCCGAGGGGTCTTTGGGGGGTTAACCTCAACTGCTTTTGCTTGGGGGAAATTTGGGTGATTCCCCAGCTTCCTCTGAATGACTTACCCCAGGCTTTGGCAGGCAGAAAGCACCTCCTTCCCACGGCAGTGCTTCAGACCACCATCGAGCTGTGGCTCTGTTGCTTTGTTATCCTCTTGCAGCCAGCAAAGCCCTCTGACATGTGATAACTCCTGAGTCAACCTCTTGCTGCTGCCCACAGTTTACTCACCAGCAACAGCTGCGTGAAATGGATACACGTTGGGCAACTGGATGTACCAAAAGATGTAAATCCTGGCTTTGTTTGGTTTGCACTGACCCTGCCTGGAAAAACTGTGAGAAGCTTTAATGCTTTTGCTGCAGCTCTCTGAAACTGATAGAGTTTGTAGGTTACAGTGCCACTGAAATCACCCTCCAAAGTGGCTGTAAAACACTTGTCAACACTATGAAACTGCGCTGGTGTTGGTATAGCTGGAGCTGCCAAACCTCCTGTCCTCTGTGGACACACTTGTGTAGTTTATTCTGGCACTGGAAGCAAAACAACCTGCAGTGACTAAGGCACCCTCAAACCAATGTAACTTTTAATGAAAAATTATTTTAAATGGAGATGATTGTGCCTCGTGGCCCTCTCTGTATTTTCAGCTTGCTACAATGTGCTGACACTTGTAGAAGAAGAGCTTATTTTGGGCTCCCCACTACCCTTGAAATCATAGCATCATAGAATGGTGGGTTTGGAAGGGACCTCAAAGCCTTCCCATCCCCAACCCCTGTTGTAGGCTGGATGTCCCCCACCAGCTCAGGCTGCCCAAGGCCCCCACCCACAGCCTCAGGCACCTCCAGCCTCCCTGGGCAGCAGTGCCAGGGCCTCTCTGCTCTCTGAGTGCAGAATTTCCTCCTCACATCTGAACCTAAATCTCCCTCTTTTACATTAAAGTCATTTCTCCTTGCCCTATCTCCATCTGCCTGTGTAAAAAGTCTCTCTCCCTCCTATCTATCAGCTCCCTTCAGGCTCTGGAAGGCTAAAGCGAGGTCTCCCCACAGCCCTCCCCCTTCTCCAGGCTGAACAACCCCAGCTCCCTCAGCCTGTCTCCATAGAGAGGTGCTCCAACCCAATGGAAATGGTTTGGCTCATTAGTGGAAACAGTGGAAGCTGAGCCAGGAGCCTCTGATAGCTCCTCTGGTGGTTTGGCTTCCCATCTCACCCATTTAAAACTTACCCCTTGATCATCTGTGGGTGAATTACGCAGGTGGTGGCTGAGCTGTGCCAGCCTGGCAGCAGCTCCCAACTGCTGTGCAGCATATGGCACCTCTCCCCTGCTCCCATGGGGATGTGGCACAGAACGTTGTCACTCCAGACCCCATTCTACTCACTGATGATGCTGATAAAAACTGCCCCTGGTCTCTGTAGAAACCCATTTCCAACCTTTCCAAGGGTAAATACTCTGTAAGTCTGGCTGCTACATGTTCATTTACATTGTCCCATCCCTGGAGATGTTCAAGGCCAGGTTGGATGGGGCCCTGGGCAGCCTGGGCTGCTATGAAACGTGGAGGTTGAAGCAGGGAGGGCTGGAGCTTCATGATCCTTGAGGTCCCTTCCAAGCCAAGTCATTCCACGATTCTATGACTCAAAAAATAAAGTTTTACCTAGCTTTCATTTTTACACCCCTTTGGTTTCCATCTATTTCAAAGAAATGCTTTCAAACAAAAACGGGGGAGATTTAGGCTGGATTTGAGGAAAATAAGAGCAATGAGGCACTGCACAGGTTGCCCAGAGAGGTGCAGATGCCCAAGGTCAGGGGATGGGGCTGCGAGCACTGATGGAGCTGTGGGTGTCCCTGTGCACTGCAGGGAGTGGGACCTGATGGCCTTTAGAGGTTCCCTTCCAACTCAAACGATTTTATGACTCTATAGAAAAGGGAGAAGACAGGAACTCTCTGATTTCCAATCTTTCCCTTTTGAAAAAGGGAACAGTACAAAGCTGATCTGTAGAATATACAGATTTGTACACACTAACTGTCATCTGCAGAAGTTTACAACACATAATGCAAATCTGTTTCTCTACATGATGGAAAGAACAGAGGACTATGATGCAGGAAGAGCATCAGCAGCGACAAGAAAATCCAATTTCCTGCATCCATCTCCAGCAGGTTAGATATGAGAAAAACAAAAACCAATCCTCCCCAGTCAGTAGGGGGTAGGTAACCTTTCTTTTAAGGACTAAAGCTACAGAGAGCAAGTTTAGTAAGTTAACTGGGTTCTCAACCTGACCTTTAGAGGTCCCTTCCAACTCAAATGACTCTACAGACTCAAAAGGTGGGCCTGGGAGAATCTAATGAGGTTCAACACAGCAAAGTGCCAGGTTTGGCATTTGGGCCAGAGGAATCCCAGGCATCCATACAGACTGGAAGGAGCGGTGCTTGAGAGCAGCCCTGCAGAGAAGGACCTGGGGATCCTGGTGGATGAAAAGCTGAACATGAGCCAGCAGTGCTCCTGCAGCTGGGAAAGCAAATGGGATCCTGGGCTCCATCAGCAGAGGGGTGGCCAGCAGGGACAGGGAGGTGATTGTCCCTCTCTGCTCTGCTCTTGAGGCCCCATCTGCAGCACTGCGTGCAGGGCTGGAGCCCCCAGCACAAGAAAGACAGGGAGCTGTTGGAGAGGGTGCAGAGGAGCCACAGAGATGAGCAGAGGGCTGCAGCACCTCCCTACAAAGACAGGCTGAGGGAGCTGGGCTTGTTCAGCATGGAGAAGAGAAGCTGCGGGGTGACCTCAGTGCAGCCTGCAGTGCCTCAAGGGAGCCTGCAGACAGGAGGGGAGTCAGCTCTGTGAAAGGGGAGATGACAGCAGGACAAGGGGAAATGGTTTGGAGTTGAGGGAGGGCAGCTGGAGGTTGGATGTCAGGGGGAAGTTGTTTAGAGAGAGAGTGGTGAGGTGCTGGAACAGCTGCCCAGAGAGGCTGTGATGCCCCGTCCATCCCTGGAGGTGTTCAAGGCCAGGTTGGATGGGGCCCTGGGCAGCCTGGGCTGCTGTGAAATGGGGAGGTTGGTGGCCCTGCCTGCAGTTTGGGGGTTGCACCTTCATGATCTTTGATGTCCCTTCCAACCCCGGTTATTCTGTGATTCTATGAAAAGCAGTGGGTATGCAGCAAGCAGTTCACAGTGCCCTAGGGAAGGCAATCCTCCATTTATGAGGGTCTGCCTCACAATATTAAAGAGTTATAACAGAAGGAGATTTGGAAAACAGACTGGGAGGTCACTTCCCAAACTTGCTGTGTCAGAACTCCATCACGAACACGCGAGGCCAAGGTTCCCTAACTCACAACAGCAAAAAGCAGACCAAACAAAAGCTTTCCATGCTCCTAAGAACAACCTTTCCATCCATCCCTGAAGCAGAGGATTCCTTTCTGCCTGCTCTCACTAGCAGACGATTGGTGAGCTGAGAGATTCCAGCCCAGCACAGAGCAGCACATCAAGTGGCAATTCCAATCTTCTTCTGCAGAGCACAACAACACAGCTTGTCAGTAAGCTGTGTGATGAGCAAATGGAAAGACCAGATAAGAGCTTACAAACATTTAAAGAAATAAATACCATGGAGTGTGGGCATACATATATTTTTTTTTAGGGCTAAACAAGGAGCTGCACACAGGAATGTGATGAAATTAAGGCTGATCATGAAGAATGGCTTCCTGAGAGATTTATCATCCTGTGGCATAGTTTCAGTGGAAGCAATGGATGCCTGATGACAGAGATCACTTGAAATTATGCTGGGTAAAAAAGAAATGATGAAAACAGGCCTAAGGTAGCACAGAGACCTCTAAGATATCCAGCTTCATTCTTGTGTTACAGATTCTCTTCATCTTATGGTTGCTTCTCCATAGCAAATAAGCAAACAGCTCCAGCTCTGCAGTCCCAGCTCTCTCCTAACACAACCTATGAGCTGTTTCACCTTTTTTTTTTTTTTACTGGAGCTGTACACTGCACTGTTGGTTTCAATTATTTGCCCATAATGATCTCCGAATTCTTTTCCTGATCAGTTTGTTGGATGACTGTTCCACTTAGCACGTATTCCCCAGCTCAGTCCCCAACTTATTTTCCAGTTATCTATATTGAACGGCATTTGTCACCTCAATTATCCAAATTCTTTGGAATCTGCCTCTGCTGTTCCTCATTATAAGCCCAAAATTTGTGACGTTCTGGGCACCCAACTCCTACCAAAGCCAACAGCCACCGAGGAGACGCAGAGTCGCATCGGATATGGCTCAGCTGTTTTGCCTCCAGCTTCTCTATTTAGTTTTTTGGAAATCTTGCTTTCAATGCTGTCTTCCAAACCATTTCTATAAACAGACAGAATAAAGATGCTAAAAATGACCCCGGGAGAGGGAAGGTCACTTTGCAATTGCTTACTAACTAAACTGGTTATGACCAGTCCTGCAGTTCTGGAAGGCACAGTATCTTCCCAGAACCTCCCTTGCACACATCAGCATGACGGGCAGCACACTTGGTGATGAGACAGCCAGATCTGAGCTAAGCTAAAACAAAGACTGAATGACTGAGGCACCCCAACGGAACGCCAAAATGCTCACAGCATCAGAAAACCAGAAAGCTCCAACTGCAGCCATTTGCACGGTTGTCAGTCCTCTCTCAACCCCTCAATCGTTGATCCAACAGCCTTAGATAGGAGCACTGCTGGAGCCAGGCCCCTGGCCCCACATGGCTGCTTGTTTTTGCATCTCTTACCTTCCTCATCACTGCTGTCAGATTCCAGTTGTTTGATTCTCTTCCTCTTCTTCTTTTGATTTTCGGGCTCTCTTTCCTCCTCGTTGTCAGACTTGTCCATCCTCTTCATTTTACTGCCACCAAGAAAAATTAAAGTAAGGGATGAAAACACACCATCCCTTGTGTGTGCGCATGAGAACGCTGCATGCACTGCATACGTTGCTGATAGAAGAGCTGCCAGCAAGGAGATCAAATACCTCTGCTACCTCCTAAAAACATGTGAGCATCACATGATGAAGTATACTCACCCATACCATCAGACAGAGGTGCAAGGGCATTTTTAAGCCTCTCAACCTTACCCATATTCCGTTCTCTAAAACAAGGAGGACTTCTTCAGCCCCTCTGCAGCTCAGTGTTTTGCCCAGTGCCTCACCTAGCTTGGCCACAGCAAGCTGGCAAGCAGGCATTTCTGATCTTGTCTCTATAGCTCAGGCTCCCAAACACTCATGTCCCCAACAGCATCGCTCAGAAGCTCTTTTGACAGACTGCTCGCCACTGACTGACTATGAGGTAGTGTCTCAGAATCCTGGAGCCATTTTTAAAGACTACTGGAAAAATAAAATAGCTTCTTTCTTTTTAATGTTGGCGAGACACGTCAGACTAACAAGCCTGGAGGCTAAAGGCCCACGTATCCTCATGGAGCTGGTATGGCCCAAGTGGCCTTCCCAACACCACGCTGCCAACACGCCGTTTCCAGGCCCCTGGACTGAATAGGACTATCAATAAGAAGACCAGTTAGCACCAACTGCCATGGTGGGCTGGGTGGTGCACTCACCTATTTAGTTAGCAACAGATTGAGACCACCAATTAATTACTCATAGGCCACCAGAGAGCCATCAGACTGTAATGATTTTTTGTCTCTGTCAGTTTGGGTTGGATTAAACACAAAGGGTTGAACTTAAAATTTACTTGGAGCTTCAGCCCAAAGTAAACCAGCGGCATTGAAAGCAGCAGTACATTTGCTATGGGAATCAACAAGCAGAACTTTGTGTGCTGGGAGCTGTGTACATATAAGCTTGGGAATATACTGCCTTCCCTGCAACACAGGTGCTCCTGCCAGCCCCCACAGATTGCCTGTGGGGTCCGTGCTCAGCCTGCTCACAGCATGAGGCTGTCTCATGGAACGCCATCCCCTCCCACTGGACAGTACCTGGACCGTGTCCCTTCCCATCTGCAAAGGCACAGATGGCCCTGAGGCATCCACAGCACTAAATGGAAAAGACCTATTAAGAAAGGATTCTAAGAGAGAGAAATTTAGACACGTTTAATGCTGTTTAGTAGCTGGGAAGAGGAGGCAAGCCAATGCTGTACATCCAGCCAGCTCAACGTAAGGCCATCAACAAACAGGTTGAGAGATCACAGTGACCCTGACTAGTGTGGCCCACCTCTTTTTGTCCTTCTGTTGAATTTTAGCAGGCTCTGTTTTCCTCCCAGGTTTCTCTACCATGGTGTTAGGGGATGACTCTGGTTCTGTTGCAGGAACTGAAGTCTTAACAGCTTCTTTTTCCTCCTTTGGCTGCTCAGGCACTGAGTTGACTTTGAGTTTACCTGTGAATAAAGCATTAAAAAAGTAAAGAATGTACGTATGACAACTCATAAAAGAGTGGGTTAAGCAAAACAGTGCACCAACTATACAGACAGCACTGCAGATGATGCATAAAAGCTTTAAGGGATCTGGATGGACCAAGCTGAGTAATACAAGGACATGCTTGGGTCCGCAGCTGATTTGCTTCTACTGTTCCTGATGGCACAGCACCAAAGGTGCCAAAGCCAAAGGTGCTGCAGCAGTTCATAAACACTGCAAAGAAGGCTGGAAGGCAGTGGCAGAAGATGGTATGGTCATTAGGACCGTAAGACACCACAAAGGATTGGGAGCCCATCCCTCTTCTACACGTCCCCCCTGACAAAACACCACATCCATCTTTACTGTCAGTTCACTCCTTTTAAATTGGAGCTTTAATTGAGCAACAAGAGCCCAGAAAAAGAGAAATCAGCCTCCAGCCTGTGTAACATTACTAAAAATACTGAGTGTGGGCTCCAGTTTAGCAGTTTGTCTCTTTCTCAGCTCCAATCTCATCAAGAATCAGTCTCTTTGGCCTATGCAGCACCACAAACACAGGCAACACTACTGCAAAAGGCTTAACCCAGCACCAGCAAGGTGGGAATGGATAGCAAGTAAAAAAGTCAGGCTGACTTTTGCCACATCCATTACTCCCCGTCCCCTCTGTCCCATTCTGTCCCTTTCATCCCATTGTCCCCTCCTTTCCCTGCCTGTTCTCCCCAATCTCACCCCATCCATCCTTGAACCCTCTGCCCCTTTTTGTCCCATCCCCTCCCCTTTTGTCCCATCCTGTCCCCCCCTCTGCTCCCCATCCTCTCCATCCCCTCCCACCCCCTTTTGTCCCCCTCCCATCCCCTCCATCTGGGGATCCCCATGGAGCTCCCTCTTCTCACCTTCCAACCCCTCTCCCCCCCCCCCCCCTGCCCCCCCTTTCCATCCCCACTCCAACTTCCCTATCAGCGTTACCTATCAGGTTAGTCAGATAAGTGTAGGCACAATGCAGAGGCCATTTAGAAGCCTGCATCATCCCTAGCAGGAGATCACAGAATGACAGCATGGCCTGGGTTGCAAAGGAGCTCAATGTTCATCCAGCTCCAACCCCCTGCTGTGTGCAGGTCAGCAACCAGCAGCCCCGGCTGCCCAGAGCCACATCCAGCCTGGCCTTGAATGCCTGCAGGGATGGATGGGGCATCCACAGCCTCCTTGGGCAACCTGTTCCAAGGAAATGGATGGGAAAAGCATCCAATAATGAGATCAAGAAGAGCAGAGGCTGCTGAGGGCTCAGAACGCCAACATCTTTCTGACAGTGCTCAGATGGGCTGGCTGCCTGACTGAATGAGGGGAAACAGCTCCAAAGGAGGAGCCTGAGTGACAGCTATCTTCTTTATCATTGATAGCACAGGGCTGGAGGACACAACTATTGCTAACTCAGGGCTTTCTGGCAATGGTGAAGTCTCTGAAGCCAGAAAAGGCACACTGACACGTGGGCACTAAGTCTTACCTCTGGAATCACCCTATCTTTTCTATACACCTAATCATTTCCAGTTCTGCCCAGTTTGCTGGGGGCTCAGGAGAGGACCTACCCCCACTGGAAGTCACTGAAATACATCCACAAATTTATCCTGCCTTATCTTCACCACGTAATTTCAATTTCCTGAGTTTTTAGAATGTGAGCTTTTGGTCCAGGGCCCTTCAAAGACGTAAGAACGTAATGAAGTTAATTGCAGTAAGTGCCCTTGGACTTGTGAGTCTCAGGCTGAAAGCACTGTGTGCAATCTGCTACACCAAAACAGGAGCTCCAAGATGTCCATCAGCACTGCACGCTGTGCTCATTCACTGTACCCTGCAGATTTTAACAGCTAGACAGCAACCTTTGCCATTTACTCCTTCCCAGCAACTCTTCTTCTAATCCCCTGGTATTTTTGATTGGAAGAGCATCTTTGAAGAACACTCTGTAGTGCTTTTCCAACATCTAATCAAAAGCTTTGGCATGCTTTCTTCAGCCATGGGCAGCTTCAGCTGGAAGGAGCCTCCAGAGGCCATTTAACCCCCTGCTCAAAGGCAAAGACCATCTCTCATTTTCCTATGCTGATTATCAGCTCTGTGCAGTTTGCAGGATAGGAATTAACCCTAAATCTTAACTAGAGGCTCCTCAGTGATTTGTGATGAAAAGTGAGCATCATTAACATGCTCAGTGCAACAGGTTTTGGCAAACACTCTGCCAATAGCTGATCATCCAGCCAACAGTGCTCACTTCAAATCAGCTAAAAATCCTTCCTGGGTTAGTCTGCACAAATACGTCATCTTAATTGATCTCTACCCAGCAAACTTGTTGTCTGAAACATTCCACTTACAACTTTAATTTTTGCCTTAAGAGCTGCATGCCAAAAAAATTAACCCCTCTGAGTTCAAAAGAGCAGAAGAATGATAGAATGGCCTGGGTTGCAAAGGAGCACAGCGCTCATCCAGCTCCA